GGCTGAGGTGTTGCTGCGAGTGTCCTTCCGATGTAAAAACTGGTGTTAAGTGGAACGTGTTCTTGTCTTGATCTCCTACTTCTGTCGTGATTTGCATTTCTTGCTGAGTTTCTAACTTGGTTTGCTCTTTTTTTGGCCGAGTTTTGCTTTTGTCTCCTTGTATTTCTATCTGGAGATTCTGGAGATGCCCCCCCCTTTTTTATTGCTATATTTCTAGTTTGGCCTGTTGTAGTTCTCGGGCCTGGTCGTTAGTTTTTGTTGATTTTTTCTTACTCTCCTGTTCAGTGTGTGAGGCACCTAATCAATACGCTTCCTTCCTGGCTGCCGGGTTCCCAAGTCACTGTGCTTTCTGTTGGCCCGGATGCTGCCTACGAGGGGTTTTTGTGCTTTAGCTAACGCGCCGTTGTCTAAATTCGCAGCGTTTCAGCTCATTACACTGACTTTAATTTTGATGTATTTGTATTTTATCCACTTTAAGTCATGTTTCTTTCCTCTCTCAGTTTAATTACTTTCTGCCTGGGCAACACTGTGTTTATACAACTGCTGCTAAAGCGACAAAGGCTTCTATTTAATTTGCCACCCAGAGCATCAATTCAGTCTGAAAGGTGCTCGGGACACCTTTGATTGATAGCTCACCTTTGTGTGGGGACCAGAACCTAGACTATTGCAAGGGTCTCCTTCATAGAGCTCCGCCAACCCTGGTTTATGGCTCTGGAGTCAGGAGTGTAGGGGATGGGAAGAGGCCTGTGGGTCACTGTCCTGCCTCCCCGTAAGGAAGAATATATGACCCGTTTCTAGTCTGTACATGCCAGGCCCTCACAGCAGGCAAAAGATCTTTCTGAGGTGTTGAACTTGCATGTAGCTTGGCCGCCCAAGCTCTAGCTTCTGTCTTTCCGTGCGTATGTGTGCGCAGGATGTCCATCTTGGGTTTGAATCNGGCCCTCACAGCAGGAAAAAGATCTTTCTGAGGTGTTGAACTTGCATGTAGCTTGGCCGCCCAAGCTCTAGCTTCTGTCTTTCCGTGCGTATGTGTGCGCAGGATGTCCATTCTTGGGTTTGAATCTAGGTCTTCCTCTGATCATTTTGCGTGTGGGTTTGTAAGTCAGCAACACAGATTGAATTTCCATTGTGTGCACAGCAGTATAGCAACTGATCCAACAACAAATGTCTTCGGAAACATGGTAACTCTTCCTCTTTTCAAAGACTTTCATTAACGGGAAAGAAAGGGAAAGTATATGAGAAATACATCTTTGAAAACAGACGCAAGGGGAGCACCCCAATCGGTCCACGACTGGCTCTTTATAGGGTTTAAGTTGCACCCCTCCCACAGCCTCACAATTGCAACTGCTCTTGGAAATGCTTAGGAGACAGAGACCTGTAGGGGTGGGGAACCTTTTTTCCACCAAGGGCCACTTGGATATTTATAACATCATTCGCGGGCCATATAAAATTATCAGCTTAAAAATTAGCTATGAGGAAAGCGCCCAGATTTATTCGATTTTGAGACCCGCCTGCAGTTGCCTTGGTAGGGCTGGGCCAAATACGGCCTGCGGGCCGGACGTTCCCCACCCTTGCCTAGGACCTGCATTGCTGTTTTAACTCTTCACTCCTGGGCCTGGTTGTCCGTGTGTCTGTCCAAATCTCGGTGTGTCTGTCCAGATTCTTTAGCCTGTGACCCTCTCTTGTGTCCCTGGCATGTTTTAAGCATCAGCCTATTTGCTGCGCTCTGCCCATGAGATGAGGAGCCACCCTTTCTCCCCGAGCTTGCAGCTGGGTGTTTATACCACCCACCCGGCCACGTACAAATGTCTACACTGAGCTCCACCCTCCTGTCCAGACCTGATCGATGCAGGACAGCTCTACCCGTGACATCCTGGAGGCTTCCTGTAGGATAGCGAAGCTTCACGGTTTTGCTTTTGTGAGAATCGTATGTATCCTTGGTGACGTTTGTGTTTGCGGCCCTTCGTGTGACAATTCCCTTAGATGAGTGTGCTTTTCGTATTAATTTTCACGGAACGAATTCAGCTTCAACTTACCTTACTCCAGGTCATGTTCAATCCTGGAGAGCACCACATTCAGGGCAGTAGATGGTACAGGCTGTGGGATTTTTACCAACTATTAAGCAGCGACCACTGTCCCCGTAAAATCGCTTAGGACGTGAGGCCCTCACTCCTCACACAGTCTAACTGGTTGTTCATTGGGCTCCCTCAGCCAAAAGTAGAGGGAAACTTTGTACAGACATCATTAGTTTTTTTCCCCATTTAGAGATTAATCATGAAGAGCTCTGGCTCTTTAATTCTGTAATTTGTATATTTAATGGGCTGCTGCAGAATCTATGACAGTAATTAGCATAGCCCGAAAACTCATTAATACGCAACAACATGATTAATGCAGCATTAATGCAAACATGACTGAAGTTATTTGGGTTATGTAGTAAGAAGATTAAAGCTAAAATGTCCTGTTTGTTTTACCACTGGTGAGTATAATAGGGTGGCGAAAAAATAAAGTAAAAACAGGTATCGACTTAGTGGTTTTTAAATAGGGGGGGAAAACCCAGAAAAAAAATAATTTCCTTTTTTCACGTAGCTCAAAATTTAGGGCATAAAATATATCTTCTACTTTTCTGTTTATTCATTTATTTATAAATTTGCCATTACTAGGTAAGTGTGTTCAACCTTTTAGTTTAACCAAGTTAATCTTTCAGCAACTTCAACATAACGTAAATAATACTGTTAACATGTTATATATAATATAGTAACATTATTAAGCAATATTATTAACATAGTATTATTTTATCTTACAGTTTAAAATCTTTAAATTATTTCATCTTTGACCAATATGTTATACATTTGTTTTGAAACTAAGGTATATTTTTTGGCCTTGACAAGTAATTAAAGGACCTGTTTCTAATTATATAAAAGCTACATACTAGGCTGGGGGCCAGTCCTTTTTTCCTAAGGAGCTCTGCAGACTTGTAGGCCCTGTCCTATGGCCACCTCTAATGGCGTTTCTAATCACTGTTGGCATTCTCCAACTTTGTATCCTAATCTGTACTTCCAGTGCAATTTTTAGAAGGCTGATCTAATGCTTCCCAAGTTCATGAGCGATAAACGGTTGAAAAACACTTTAAAAAACAACTAAGAAACCGTCTATGTTTAAATGAACAAGAACGAAACTTTGGAATTCTAATAAAGAGCCATTTGGGGATCAATTCCAGGCCATTTATAATCTTTTCCAATTCATTTTCAATAGTTACTTTGTCAAATACAGTCAATGAAGATTTTGTTATTCATGTATTTATAGGCCGGCTAGCCCTACATATTTTATGAATGGAGACATTTTTAGCACCACCTAACGGCAGGCAAGTAAAAAGAAATACCCTTTCTAATTTAGAACTTACTTGCACAATTCAGACTGAGCCAAAGCTAGAGTCGCTTCTATAGGGAACCTTTTCCATCCCCTAATGCACCCTACAGACAGCTAGAAATCCGTCTCCCAGCAATTGGTTTGGGTAGGAATGAAGCAGAAGGGATATTTGATAATGAAACCAAGAGGATTAGCTTCCTTTATGAGAGCAAGGATGAGAAAATACCTGTGTAATAGAATACATTGTGTTTATGTGAATTAAAGTTCTTTTAATTTGAGGAGCTTATGCACTGAGACTCCATTCTCCATACCCCGGTTAATTTCCTGACAAAATAGGCCTTGATTTGCATTAGCATATCTCACTCGTGGTGTTTTCCTGCAGTCCTTGGTACATCTTGGACCAATTTGATACACTACTCTAATAAAGCATATTTTCTCTCTGAAACGTCCTAGAAACTAAGAGTACCATCTTTCTGTTTCTTCTCTTGAATTTTCTATAAAATGTGAGCCAAACAATGTGGCTTATATTAGGGATAAGTAACTCTTACCTTAGACCATACCTGTTTGTTTCATGGTCCTGGCAGGATTTGAAACACGAGGAAAGATGAATGAGACACGCTTGACTCTTGAGGTGGTTGTGGTCCGCTGAACCCAGAATGAGTCCCCTTAAGCACGGGGACCTTTGGTTACCAGCCCAACCTGAAAGGAGCTCGCTCTCCTCCAAACTTCTGCAATTCTGGTTGACTGTGTTGCTAACTCAAATCAGCGTTCATTAGTTACTCATATTGTGCTATTGAGCATGTTACATGCTATTCTCATGTATGTCCTTGAGCTCTTGACTCTCACCATATAACTTGTCTATGTATGTATATCTACGTATACATTTGATCTTTCCAGAGATTGTTCCTCTTAAACTTCTTTGCCAGTTTCAATGCAATAAGCGAAATGCCTTATGCAGGGGACTCTATGCGTTGAGCAGGTGAGATACCAGGTGGAATGGAGGTGGGCCCAGATGGTGACAGTGGGACAGCATCTATGTGACCATCACAAACTGCCCAGCTTCCTGAACTGGGGAAATTTCCGTGAGACAAGAGCGTGGTGTGTGTCAGGCAATGCTGGTAGGTGATCTGAGGGTGAGGGGAGACCCTGAAATTCAGAAGGCTGCAGACCCTTTGGTTGCAGAATGGCGTTTCAGAAAATTAGCTCTACAGGCCACCTAAGAGTGGGTCTTCCCACGTCATAGCTCCTGTTGCTGGGCTCATTCTTTAACCTTCTTAAATGTGTTAAATGAGGCCCCTGTGTTTCTTTCACTCGTGTCCAAAAGCCCATTTATTTTTATGATTCTGATGATAGTTTCAACTGGATATTTCCGAGTATCCAATTTTGGGTTGACACCATGTCTTTTTCCATCGAGGGTTTTGCATAAATTCAACCTTTGTTCTATATTGATTCTTGGGAGTGTAGACTTGGGTTTCCAAGCATAGGTTGGCATTCATAATGGGCCCATCCCAGGACGTCGCTGTGTATAATTGCCCAACTATTCTCACTGCATCATAAATAATAGAGTAAATGTGCGTTTATCAGGGAAAATCAACAAAACCCTGGCACTGACTCACTGATTGCACTTGTCTCAGGCATCAAGGCCAGCTTCCGAACGAGGGTGCCTGACGGTCTGCTCGTCTTTGCCGCATCCCCAGGCAACCAGGAGGAGTACTTTGCTCTTCAGCTGAAACACGGGCGTCCTTACTTTCTCTTTGATCCTCAGGTAAAAATGATTAATCCTAAGACCAGAGGTTTTTGAGAATTTCCTAGGTGCCAAGTATGCAGGTAAGTGCTCAGGTTCTCACACGGAATCCCCACCAATGGTGCCTGAGCATCCTGCCCGGCCTCCTGCAGGGGAGCCCAGGGGACGGGCTGAGTCCCCCAGGGCAGAGCTTCAGGAGGCCAGGAGAGCCAGGGGTTGGCCAGTGGAAGGACCAGGGGAAGAGGGGTTTACTCCTAGTGTTTTAGCAGGAGCCTGGTAACTGCCTGGCTTCAACACTGCAGGCCCTCAGGCCCTGTGACTTCAGGATGTCCCCTAGGATGGCAGCTTCTACAGGGATGCGAATAGGTGGGCCGTGAGTAAGCAAGAAAAAGCAATAGCGCCTCACCTAAGCAGATCCAGCAGCCGGAGAGACAGGGCAAACCCGCAGCTGCCTCAGGAGGCAAGGCAGATGGCAAATGAAACAAAACAAAACAATCAGCACACTGAAGTTGATTCCATTACAGAACTGAAAATATTATTTCTCACTTGGAAGCGTTTAGTGGATTAATTTGAGGAGTGACACTTGAGGAAGGACACGGTCCTGGCCAGCTCGAGCTCCTGGCTTCATAGGTAGACGGCACCATGAGCCATGAGCACTTACTGCACTATCTCTGATTACATTTTCCCCAGTGTATTCTAAGGCGATCCTGCTCAATGAATACCTTACTTTCTTCTGAATCAATTGTCACTTTCTTGAAAATACAGGTGATTTTTGCCTTGTAGGGAGAGATTATCATTCCAGGTAAAAATGATCTCTTCGGTATCATTAAACCTTCCCATCCCCTGATCTTCCACTCCACAGTTTCAACAATTCTTGGCCTGAGAATATCTGTGGCCTTCACTAAAAAGTTAGCACACATGTCCAGGGAACCTCTGCTAGCGTATAAAAATTAGCTATAATCTTTCCATTCTTTACTTGATTGACTTCAATTTGAATGTACTTGATCAGATGATATTTTATTGACCAATAACGACTCGGCTAGTGGTTACCATTTGAAGTTTTACTCTCAGTGACATTAACAGGAAATTCACATGACACCCTGATGTCACTTAGAAGGGAGCTGTGGAAGTGGAAGGTTTCCAAATATTCTGAATAGCGCCTCTTTAACATGTCCGATATTTTCCAAACGGGAGGAACAAACTGCATGACATGGCACTAGAACCGATTGATTGGGGGAGATAACCTTAGAAATCATGATCATAGAATAGTGTACTAAGTTCCTCTAAGTAGAAAGGACACTTGGCACACTGAGGCTGTATGTTCTGGACCTGAATTTATCTCCAATAAACGTGATTTCTGATGTAGGGACCTATTAATGCTCCCGATTGTTGCCAAACATTATATAAAGAACCCCTAACTCAGACACCTGATCTCTGAGAATGCAGCAGCGTCGTTTGTAACAATTTTAACGCTAACTAAGTACACTTTGATGAGACAGCATTTAATAAAATGCTCATTAATTTCATCATTAGGAAGGGTATGCTAAGAAATAAGCCAGTTTCTTATGTCACGCCCAATTAGCATCCCATGCTAGTAATCCCATTAGTATTGTAGAATTCACTAATGGAAAAACTAATGGGCATGGCACCAGGGCACATTAATTGGGCACAACACCAGTTCTGGTTTTAATTATTAAACCACGATAATGAAATGTGTGTTTGTAAAATATTAAAATGTTGAAATAGGGTGGAAGAAAATAAAAGAGCACGTAGGGGAAAGAGATAGGAGGAAAGTCAGCCTGGGAAAATTCAAGGGCCAGCGAGTGGACTTAACAAATGGCCGTTTTTCTAGCCGATCGAGTTGCCTGTAAAAGTTGGGATATTGTCCGTGAGAGAAGCAACCCGCTTATACTCACGGGAAATTAAGAGCTGGTTTTTGGTAATAAGAAATTCCGTGTGTCATACATGTTGTCATGTTCTGTATGAGGCCTGACAGGAGCCAATTAAATGTGCAGAATGGACATGTCATATTGCCGAAGTCATTTTAGGGAAATAGGAACATAAATGTTTTAAATGGTGTGATGAACATTGTAGTTTTTGTGATAGAAGTATTCAGCTACATTATATCCGATAAAGACCAGTTTTCTCTTTTTGAAAAAGCTGATACCAAAATAAGTAGTTTCATGTAACGTTCCAAGCAATTCAGAAAATATTTTGTAATATGTTAGCCAATCTTATTTTTTGCTTTTAAATACTGTATTGGGTTGAAGTTAATTATTGCTAAAGAAATCAATTTTATTAAGAAATATATTTTTTATTTCAGAATAATTTTTCTTTACTAGCCGTACTATTAGATGATGATAGTGACAGAGTTCAACTGTACTTTACTTAGTGCTGTTCACTCACTCTCACTAAAAGGAGCACCTTTGTGTCAATCATGATGGACTTAGAAAGTGTCCGCTTGGCTGTAAAGGGCTGAGATAGAAAGTTCCTTTTTCTTGTTCATACCCTTACTTCCTGTTTGCAAATCTCTATTCTTGGTATCTGCCATTTCCTAGTATCTATGTAGGAACTCATTTTTAACTACGATTCTGTTGCCTGGGGCAAAAGTATAAATGCTAGATTGTAGACTACAGAGCACCGAGTCCTAAATTAAACCACAGCGCTTATGGTCAATATTTTAAAAAACTGGCTCATTTTCAATATGATGGCGTTGCTTACTCGCAGTGTAATGTAGGCAAGAAAGACTAACTTGCCAGGCCTTTCCCTGTCTTTAAAACAATCTCGATCGAATAGTACTTCATTCGTTTCAAATTCTTGTCCATTTTTTATATTTCCAACAAAAATTAATATAGACAATTTTAAAATAGGAAATTCGTTACCTATCTGATGAATATAGCTCCTTAGAAATTCTTACTCCAAAGAGAGGCTCTTTTCAGATTCGAGCACCGTCCTGTTCACCGAGGCTCATCACAGAAAAGCCAGTGATGTTACACGTGAATTTAATTTTGAGCTCAGTTGGAAACGTGTGTGCGCTTGCATGAGGATTATATTGAAATTTGTTTATTGGTTTTTAACATATATGTATATATGTGTATATATATATGCATGCATGTTTATACAAACATATTTGTGTATGTGTGTATATATATACAGGGTGGGGTGAAAGTAGGTCTACAGTTGTTTGTCTGGAAAATAATATAATAATAAATAATAAAACAAGAATAAGCTCTATGTTTTGCCTACTCACAACTGTAAACCTACTTTTGCCCACCGTGTATATGTATTTTTGTTTAAAAATACATTTTCATTCATTCATTCACTTACTCATTCATTCCCTCCAGGGGTCTGCGGTGGAAGTTACCACAACTAACGATGGGGGTAAACTGTACAGCGATGGCAGGTGGCATGACATGATTGCTGTCAGGCACCAGGCTCTCGGCCAGATCACGCTGGACGGGCGCTACACGGGTGAGAACTTCCTTGATATATCGCTTGGGCTCTGAAAAGCAAATGTCCCCCCTCCTCCCAAAAAAGAACGGAGTTAGATAGGCATCTGAACAGGAGCCGGGCAGCAGTGAGGCGGGGGCCCCAGGCCCCTCCTGGCCGTTGGCCCTGGTAGTTCCTGCAGGGGCCCAGCCCTGCATTTATGCCTCTGGGCGATTTAGGGCAACTTGTAGGTGGAGAGACTGGAGAAGGGAGGGGGTCTGGGTCATTCCACCATCGAGATGCGGGGGGCCGGAGGAAGAACCGGTGCGGAAAGCCAACCAGGGCAGGATTAAGGTAAGACAAGGACCGAGAACGAGGGATGTCCCCAGAGCCCAGGGAAGGGTTGAAGCATTTGTTAAATCAGTAGAGAGAGAGCATCCTGCTGACCTTGGGCTTCTGGTCTCCTCCCTAGGCTCCTCTGGGCCCCTGAATGGCAGCACTGTCATCGGAGAGAACACAGGAGTGTTTGTAGGGGGGCTGCCGCAGGGCCACCCCGTCCTGAGGAAGGATCCCGGTGAGTGTGGGAGGCACAGAATTTATACCTTGTCACCAGTACTTAGAACCACAGGACATTATTTAAAAATATGAGTAATAGTATTTTCTCTCTCATGCAAAATAATATAATAATAAATAATAATACAAGAATAAGCTCTGTGTTTTGCCTATATCACGATGTCAAAGATTTCCATTAGGTCTCTCATCTCCTAAAGGAGCCATGGATTACTTGGCATTGAAAATATTAGTGACCAGTTCTTGATGTATGAAAGTTTCGTTAAACTTTGGCTTAAATGAATTATATTCATTTCAGTTGAAGTTATGGGAGTTTCACATTACGTGTCAGGTTTGGTGTTTTTTTTTTGAGATTTTTTAATTGAACGTAAAACAACACAAATGCAACACCATGAGCCTGATGTTCAGTTTAAATAGGAAGAGAACCTTTCCTTTGCCATGACAGAGGGTGTAGGTATGTCAACAAATAATTCCAGGCACAAGCCACAAGCGTCATATTTGGGCCATAGACAAAATAATTCCTGTATTTTAGGACCCTAGAACAAAAACTGACTCTAAGATGAAGTTAATAAAACGAACAGGAATGAAATTAACGTTAAATAGAAAAAAAACCTCACCCTTCCTAGAAAGGAGATCAAATGCCTGATTGAATTGTATAACAAACTAGTTTATTATGATGAGCGACTTAAACTATAAACTATAGCTATAATAGAAACACTCCCTTCAGATGTAACTTTTAAAACAGGATAGCTCTTTTTATTTTTAAGGCCAGTGGCAGATGAAATCTCCTTGCTGATTCAAAAGTCAATATTCTTGCTAATACTATAAAAACCAAGGGTTTTTGTTTTTTTTTGCCTTAACCTCTCTTTCTGCCTCTGTGTTATGGGTCTGAACCAGGGCTGGGCATTATAATGGTCACCACTTAGCATAGCTGGGGTGGGGTGGTGTTTATATGAATCATTAAGAGGTTTGCAGTAAATACGTAGAGCAGCCGCCCATTTCTTTTATTTTAATTGCACATAAAATCAATCGCTTGAAAAGCATTTTTTCAAAGTACGTATTTCTTGATACCTGTCTCCTCCTGTAGACATAATCCGAAAGGGGTTTGTGGGCTGTCTCAAGGATGTGTATTTTATGAAGAGCTACAATCCCTCCGCTGTGTGGGAGCCTCTGGTTTGGCAGAGCTCTGAAGAGCAAGCCAACGTGTACAGCACCTGGGAGGGGTGCCCCTCTTCACTGCAGGAGGGAGCCCGGTTCCTAGGAGCAGGTAAGGGTCTCCAGTAGCCATCGGTCATCGCTTAGCAGCCCTGTTCTATCCTTGGCATAATTTTATCTCCTCTGCCCCATTACCTTGACCTCATGTGAATGCCTAGTTATGCAAGATACCCAGAAATATATGCTCAAAGCTTGAATACGTAATATAAATTGTTAAGACTCATAAATATATATTCACGTGGAAGCTCTGTAGTGGCCCAACGCAGCTGCCAGTTTCCATGGGATGGTGTCACAGGTGTCCTTTGGTTAATAAGTCCGTTGTTTTACGTAGAATGAAATTTACTTAGATGTTTCGAAGGAGTTGCCAGGCGAATCCACAAATATCTGTCTGTCCTGTTACGCAGACGGACAGTATTTCTCAGAGTAAAATTCCGGCTTCGTAACGGGGTAAGGAGGTCATTAGGGGAGAGCAGAAGATCACAGCCGCTCTCATGGCCACTTCTCCAAACGGCAGCAGAGGTGAGGGGCAGTGTCCCTGGCACGTCCCCACCTGTGGTCTCTGCCTGGCAGCCACCAGGACGAGGGGCGGAGGGGAACGTGGCGGCCTGGGGGACACGGCACGCTCTTCAGATAAAAGCCCACCTTGGCCTCCTGCCTTTGTACCTGAGTTGCCAGTTATTCCGTTGCTTGGGCCGCCTTCGGGACAGAAGGCGCTGGGATATCACGGTCTGTGCACGTTCCCAAGCTCTTCTCACCGCCGTCATTATTGCATTCTAAGTAGTGCAATTGCTTATTGTTAATAATTATGTGAAACAGCGACGGTCTCAGCTGTAGCCACGATTTAGCGAACAGATCGCTGCTTTCTCTGAAAAGGTCTGTTGAGTGCATCCTGCCTGCTCTGCATAGTTACAGGGGGATCCTTAACGTCGCGTCTCATTTTGCGAGAGGTTCGCCGCAGGGTTCGCACAGTGCTGACGATGTTGTTTCCACATGTCCTTTCCCTGGCAGGGTTCCTGCAGCTTGACCCGTCCGTGTTTCAGGGCGGCCTGGACTTTGAGATTTCCTTTGAGTTCAGGACAGACCAGCTGAGCGGATTGCTTCTCTTCATCTACAACAAAGATGGGCCTGATTTTCTCGTGGTATGTGAAGTTCATTTCATTCAGATTCACTTTAAAATGTGAGATTCCGTGTTACGCTGCAGAAAACAGGCGTTCACGTTACACAGTGTGGGAGCCCTTTCCCTGTTCCCGGGAAGCGCTCTCCCTGCACCCTGTTCCCATCTTGCTTATAGTGTTTTCACCTGCACGTCTCTGCTGTTAGACTGTGACTGTTAAAAACTGTGTTTATCTTGGAGCCTCAGGTTCATGGAGCACAGCAAGGATTTCAGTGTTTCTTGGATGAATGGATAAAAGAATAACTGCTTACCTAACATACTTCACAAAGATGCTATTTACATAGAAAACGTAATCATTTTTATCTGGCCTCACTTATCGGTTTCATTAGACATGATCGATTGCAAATTTTTAAGTATCCCTATGGTTGCTGATTTGACTTCTAACAAAATAAAAACACAGTAGGTAAAATAATGACCCCGTACGATTTTGAAGGAAAACATATTGGAGGCATTTCCCGTCCTACGAAAATTTGGGCAAAATATGTTTGTATTAGAAGATGGCACCTTCCTCTAAAAGAAAACTCANAAACATATTGGAGGCATTTCCCGTCCTACGAAAATTTGGGCAAAATATGTATTAGAAGATGGCACCTTCCTCTAAAAGAAAACTCGTAGAAGCAATTATGTTAGTTAAGGATTTAGAATATAAAAACTGAAATAGTAGATCAAAATGCATCTTAGAAATTTGAAATTGAGTTCGCCAACCAGTTAAAATAAGCCTAATCAAGCTTGACATTTCATTCTCTTAATGTCTTGTCATATTCCCCCCCCCAAATTAAATTGATATATGAAGTAGTGTTTTCTCATTTTCTAAAAAACTCAAAAATAGAATCATAGTTCAAACTATTCTGTTCTTTTCAGTCACTTATCTAGGGTTTAATCTTTTTTTTTTTAAAGCCTCGAGGAGTTTTTTTTTCCGAGAGAGGAAGGGAGAGAGAGAGAGAGAGAGAAACATCAATGATGAGAGTCATTGATCAGCTGCCTCCTGCCCGCCCCCTGCTGAGGATCGAGCCTGAAACTCGGGCATGTGCCCTGACCAGGAATTGAACCGAGACCTCCTGGATCCTAGGCCGATGCTCAACTGCTGAGCCATGTCAGCCGGGCTCTAGGGTTTAATCTTTACCTGTGTTGCACCCCCAGAAAGTTCCTGCCTGCATCATATCGTATCATGTCGTATAATCATTACTGGGTATGGATTTGTTTGACTCACTACAGTATTTATGTCCATTACAAACTTGCAGAGGGCTCATTAGATGCTACTCCAGTTTGGCTCAGAACAAAGTGGAATGTTTTTCTAGAGCGCTTTCAGGGAAATTTCTTGCTTTTCTATAAGAAGTTGGCCTTCTGCTCTCTCCCAGTCTGCCGTCCTGCAGTCTTGTTACACACCTGTTCTGTTTTTTTTCTGTGCAATGCAGGTGGAGCTGAAGAGTGGAATCCTGAGCCTCCGGTTAAACACCAGTCTCGCTTTCACCCAAGTGGACCTGTGGCTGGGGCTGTCCTATTGCAACGGGGAGTGGAACACGGTAATGGTTAAGAGGGAAGGCTCCGTGGTGTCAGCCAGCGTGAATGAACTGACGGAGCGTGTGTCGGAGTCCAGAGCGCAGGCCCTGATGGTGAATTCCCCCGTCTACCTGGGAGGAGCCCCCCTGGAGCTGCGGGACTCTTACAAACGCCTGAGTTTGGAACCAGGTAACTCCACCTGGAGGAATCCCCAAATCATCACAGCCCTGGTCTTCCAAGGTTTGGGTGGTTCTGTGTTTCAAGATATAGCAATAGAATCTGGCTGCCAGCTGCACCCACCCACCCCTTTATTGCAGAATGTTAAGCTTTTAAAGAAAAATCACCTACCAGTTCTTCAAATAGTTCCGTATGGTGCCCTTAAGAGTGTTCTCTCCTACATAATCAGTGTATTTACAAATATATTGCCTGTTTATAATCAATATATTCTAACATGCCTTCAGAAAATAGAATTTTAATTTGTGTATATATATATATATATATATATGTGTGTGTGTGTGTGTGTAGGTACAATATACTTCTCATACGTTTTCCTTGATAACACATGTGGTTCCGGTTTTTCTGAATACTGATCATTATATTGACAGGTTAAGAACATAAATTAGGTCGGTGTGCACGACTAGGAAAAATGGCATTCAATTCACTAGGGCTATTTTTGAAATTAGATAAGTGCTGATTGTCTCCAGGCATTTCAGTGTCTCCCTCATGCAGCGAATCATAGGAAAAGGTGGGTTTAGCTGCATTTCAAACACACTAGTGAAAAATCGACGTATCATTGATTCTTAATAACCATGAAGGAAAAGTTTGGGAGCTCATGAGTCATAACTAAAGCAAGCATTTAACTCACATCAAGGGTTTTAACATAATCAGAGGAACACATAACTCATGCAACTCATAGCGTTTAACTCATACAATGCGCTTGAGCATAATTAGAGAAATTCTTAATTTTAAAAGGCCAACAAATAGCGGAGTGTGTTCTGTGTGCCGGGCAGGGTTCTGAGAGCTTTACAAGAGAGTAAGTGAGTTTTTCTTCATGACAAGCCTGTGAGTTAGGTGGTGGTACTCATATCCCCATTTTTCAGATGAGCAGAAAGGAAAGTAATTGCCCAAGGTCGCATGACTAGTGAGCAGCTAGAGAGCAAGCCCATGGTTCAGGCATCCTGGCGGCAAAGTCCACTTTCTTACAGAAGTGTTCTTGTCATGGGCGTGGGCCAGTGTTCCTTCTCTAGAGAGGGGGAAAACAGAGAAACTCCCAGCTGTGACCCAGCATGCTCCCACATAGAAAAATATCTTCCCCACACACTTCAAAATCTATGCTCTGAATGCTTAAAATTTCCACGACGCAGTTTTTACCTATTTGGTAAGTACATAAAGATTTAAATGCCTTTGAGTAGGAAATATATGGCGTGCTCTACGAAGACTTTTAGGAGGGTATGAGTAAGGAGTTAATGAATATCTGAGGTGTGAGACAGTAATGACATTTTCAAGGCACTTAAGATGTAACAGAAGCTGGAAATATTGCGTTCACATAAAGGCTTCTCCTGACTTCAGGTTTCTGAGGTTAGAAGGAGCTCGAAAACCCTTTATATGAGCAAGATGACTTGGCCTTATTTACATCTAGGAGGGAAAAAAATCCCTGCCCATCAAGCGTTATACTTTAAAGCGTCCCAACACCCACCACCACGCTGGCCCTAGAGACACGGCTTAAACTGGAATTGTCATGTTATAATGATAGAAGTTTAGAACATCAACACAGACCCAAGGGGAATAATTTAATTTGCACTAAGCCTGAATCTGTAATACTGAAAGATATTTTATTTATGGGCAATACTAAATTTCTATCAGTATTAGCCACATCAGTGGTTCTCAAACCACTGACAAAATACGAAGCACAGTAGCTGGGGCATAGTAAGAACCCAATGAAATTAGCGATTATTGTTATTATGATTATTAGTTGTAATATCATCATTGTTACTGCTATCCAGCATACATTGCAATTGCCTGGAAAGGTCTTTGAAAATGCATATTCTATGACCCCATCCCCTAAGATTCTAACTCAGATGCTTTGAGTGCTACTGATCTTTACATGTGACCACAGGTTTTATACAGAGACCAGGAGAACCTTCACCATATAGAGGGGCCACCACCTGAACTAAACTCCAGTTCCGATTAATCATGTTCACGTATTATATATATTTTTTTCAGTCCATTATCAACAGCCTTAAAAATCTTCCCACACTTCTCAATTAGCACGTCTTTTCAGAGGCTCTATCTTGTGGTCATATTAGGGCTATTTTTTTTTATCCATTAATATTGCAATCTTCTTCGGAATAAAATGCAGATTAATTTCTCCCTGTGCTTTGGAAATGCCGGGCAACGTGCTTTGCTGAACATGTGCTAGCTCAGGTCCTGGGCATTTAGCTTAGAACGGTCCCTTGGGACCATGCCTGACCTCTGGGTTGGAAGTGACGGCCTGGCACACGGTGTCACAGGCCATGCCCCGTGGAGGGGCGGGGTGGGTGATGAGCCAGGCGCCTGGTGTCGGGTAGCCTCCTTCNTGTTCACGTATTATATATATTTTTTTCAGTCCATTATCAACAGCCTTAAAAATCTTCCCACACTTCTCAATTAGCACGTCTTTTCAGAGGCTCTATCTTGTGGTCATATTAGGGCTATTTTTTTTTATCCATTAATATTGCAATCTTCTTTGAAATAAAATGCAGATTAATTTTTCCCTGTGCTTTGGAAATGCCAGGCAACGTGCTTTGCTGAACATGTGCTAGCTCAGGTCCTGGGCATTTAGCTTAGAATGGTCCCTTGGGACCATGCCTGACCGCTGGGTTGGAAGTGACGGCCTGGCACATGGTGTCACAGGCCATGCCCCATGGAGGGGCGGGGTGGGTGATGAGCCAGGCGCCTGGTGTCGGGTAGCCTCCTTCGGAAGGGCTACTGTCTGGCTCGTCAGCCCAGAGTTCTGGGCCGCCTTTTAGTTATTTGGAGGCCTGAAGAGAGATAACAAACACTTTCAGTTGAACTGAGTTCAATTGGATTATACTTACCAGCTTATATTGTTTTTCAAAATAACATAAATATAAACATTTGCTTGGGACAGCTTAGCCTGATTAAAAAAAAAAACACAAGAGGAGGCGTAAGGATTCCCCAGAGGAGATGCGAGCGTTTCAAAACTGTACCTACAGCACCCCCCCCCATCAGAACGAACCCCGAAGTCAGGAGCTGATGGGTGATGAGGGCCCCGGCCCCTCACGCCACGCGGCCTCCCGTCTGCCAGGTTTCGGCGGCTGCGTCAGGGAGGTGGCGTTCGCGCGGGGCGCCGTCGTCAGCTTGGCATCTGTGTCCAGCGGCGCTGTCAGAGTCAATCTGGACGGCTGCCCATCAAGTGACAGCGCCGTTAACTGCAGGGGAAATGACTCCATCCTGGTGTACCGGGGACACGAGAGGAGCGCTCAGGAGCCGGGGCTCAGGCCTTTCACAGGTAAGGAGCAGGTGCTCCCTTTGCAGGCCACACGCCCCGCCTCGT